AATGGTACAATTTTTTTTTGGTTAGACTTTAAAAGCATTTTAAAATTTAATTTGTTTTTAACTTTAAAAGCATTTTAAGATTTAATTTGTTATTCCGTAGTATTTGAGTTTATAAATCAAAATATGGTAATCAACCGTATGAAAAGCTTTTGATAGGTCAATAAAAATTCCTTGTGTATATTGTGATTTTTCGATTTCATGAACAAATTGGATAATTGCATGTTCAGTTGATTTATCTTTCTTAAAACTAAATTGATTGATGTAAAGTAGATTGTTATCATAAAAATATTTGTATATTCTGTTGAACATAATTCTTTATAGAACTTTTGATGAATGAAATAAAAATGTGAAAAAAACAGAGATTGGGCGATAGTTACTATTTTCATATTTGTCCTCTTCTTTAGAAACAGGAATAATTTTGCAATTTTTAATTGTTTTGGGAATACTCCTTTATGGATAGAAGCTCTAAACATTTTTAAAATTTTCAAATTGTTCAAAGCAATCTATAACCACGTTTTCATTAATATGATCTGCTCCAATTGATTTATTTTTTTAACAGATTTGAAGGCTCTTTCAAACTTATCAAACATTAATTTGGAAGACAACTCATCTGATTAAATGCAACTAATTTTCTAGATAATCAGTAAACAAAGATTTGGTCATAGAGATTTTTTCGTACAGTGTTGGTCCAATATCAGTGAAAAATTTGTTAAATTCTTAAGCATAGTTCTTGGTTTATGTAAAATTTATTATCGACTCTGGCAATAAATCGGAGCATGATTATTTTTTATCAATAACTTCCTTCATTATTTATCACGTGGGCTTTGTCTCGTCTTTAAATGTGTTAAATAATTGGGAGTAATAGTTTTTTTTTTCAGGTTTTTGCGAATTTTTCAAATAGGTTTTTGTTGCTTTTATAAATTTTTTTGCTTGTAGCTGTTTTTGTTAAAAAAAAAAATTGTATATGACTTGTTATATTCTAGATGATTTTTTAAAACCATTAATAGTTCATGGTGTATTGATACTCTTAGTTTTTATTGTTTTTTCTAAAACTGGGAAACTTCATAAACAGAAAAAATTGTTTTAAAAGAAGTTTCATAAATATTATTTGCGTTAACATCAAAATTGATGTTATTCCAATGCAGTAATGATAGCTTAAATAATTTGAGGTTAGTCTCATTATAAACGCGTTTTCTTATTATTTTTTTTGGAATTGTTTTTTGGTGCTTGATAAAAATTGCATAAATTTGCTTTATTGTAGAAAATCAAACAAACTTTTTTTTTTTTACCATAATTTAATTCTATTTTTTTGTGCTTATTTATTGTTAACAAGTTGTTGAAAAATAAAAAACAGTTTTGTTAATAACGCGATTCACACGTGATTTTTTGTTTGACAGCTTGTAATCAAAGCAAAAGTAATATTCTTCGAGAATTTTGAGCCAACTTTTACTAATTTATTATGAACTGTAGCCAATATTTGCTTTCTCAATGTATAATATTGAATATTTAAAAAAATTGAATAATTAATATTGAAATGAAAAATGGTATAATTAAATAATTAGTTTTTTTAGAATCAAATTAAATACAAAATTTTAATAACGATGAAAAATCAAAGTTTATAATGAGATAAATAAAAACAGAAACCATTTTAAAAGATTCTTTTTAAAATTTTTTAGTTTAAAAATCCACCAGAATATTTTACTTTTATTGGGACAATGACGCATTTCCTCTTTTAAGTGTGCTATTTGGATACATATTTAAAATCTATGTTTGTGTGTCACCCCTTCCCTCTTTTTTCTTAATGGTTTTAAGCACTTTGAAAAGTCAAACTTTAAATAATTGTAAAGTAGTTTTAGTTTCAATTTAAGTTTTTTTTTTATCTTTCACTAAACTTTTTTTTTTCTCGATTGAGTCTTTTTAGTATTAGTAAAGTGTAAAACATCTTATAATTTTTTAAAACGTCAAAAACTCAAAAAGCATTGCCAAACTTAAAAAAATTTTCTTCATCATCCTTCTTTTTGAAAGAAGTTTTTTTTTTATTAAAAAAAACGTTTTTCAAAGCATGAACTGATGAGTTTTATTCTCAAAATTATCTATATTTTACTTCTACGTATATATATATATATATATATATATATATATATATATATATATATATATATATATATATATATATATATATATATATATATATATATATATATATATATATATATATATATATATATATATATATATATATATAACGCAAGCAAACCAGTAAAACAAAAAAAATCTTCTAATACTTAAGTAACCCGGAAAATTATTGTCTTTAAATAAATAACATGCAACCTTGTTTGCTAACTCTTTTTGCGTTTATTTGACAAAACTTCCGTTATAATCATCAATAATACTAAAAGGAAATTAAAAAAAAAAAAGCTAAGTCAATAATTAAAATTTTTTTGTCATAAATGCCAAAAGTTCTCAGATAAAGGAAATGAATTTTCTTCTGTTCTTGTGTATTACTAACTAACACTTCTTCTGTGTAAAACTAACGAACACTCTGTTTATTTTGTTTACTTCATTTAATTAAGTATGATGCACTTTTTTTTTTCTTTTATAAGAAACTCGTTTATAAGAATCTATTATTAACCCGCGGTGCTCTATGATAAGACCGTAAGGACTTCTGGGAGCACCTAAATACAAAAAAAAAAAAAAAAAAAAAAAAAAAATTACTAGAAACCCCCAGAAATCTTTAGAAACTTTTAGTACTAAGTTACTTTTCAATAAGAAACTTATATTATTAGGAGTTTGAGGAATGTTTCCTAACTTTTCACTTATATATCACATAGTCAAAAGCATTTTCTATGATGGTGAGCAACAGTTTAAATGAAAATATATCGAATCTATTCGATTTCAAATGCGAATGAAATAGGTATATTATATTAGCAGACTTAAGAAACCTTTAAAGGTTTCTTAAGTCGAATCTAGTACTAATTAGTACTAGATTCGAAAAAGGAATCTTTAAAATAAGAAGCATTCTTAGACCAGCTCATTTGCTTAGTAAATCCATCTAAATCTACAACTCTTTTAATAACCTCGATTTGATTTTGATTGATTTACACCTAATCAAAATCGGAATGTTTCAAAAATAGTTGACACCACTCTTTTTAAAGTTTAAAATTATTGACCATTTTTCCTAAATTCTCAGTACCTTCAGGGAGACGTTAAAAAGGGAGGCAAATTCATCAGCTTTAGAGAGATGTTAAAGGGAAGGAAAAAACTTTTACTAAAACATTTACATCAACAATAGTTTGTTTTAAATTATTATAGTTTTTTCCTAAAAAACAAATGATAAAGTTTCAAAATCAAAGCAAATAAGATTTCCATTGCATTGTTCCATAATGTGGGCGCCAGTGGCGGATTTAGTATAAGGCGGATTTAGTATAAGGCAAGCTGCCCCCACGCCCCCTAGAACGGTCTAACGGCGCCCCCTAAAACAATCAAAAAAATAAATAAATTATTAGATCTAATTACTGAAAACAACCCCGGTCGCCCCTATTCATTGACTTAGCCCCCCCTCCTCCGCGACACTCCGCTACTGGTGGGCGCGTCGTATATATTATATTATACATAACGTTTATACTGTTTATTATACTCTCGGGGGTATTCGCAAATGTATATATATTGAGTAAAGATATTCAGAAAGACAGTAAGAAAAAACAAATATATTTTATTATTACACATTGCAGTTTCAAAAATCTTTTTGCATACCTCTTTGTAACTAATAATGTAATCACATTTTAAAAAAAGTAACTTATTTTTATGAAATTATGCGTCGCGCATATTGTTACTACATTTAGTCAAAAATCACAAGCCACTTTCTCTTTAGGTTTGCCTTTCATGAAGGTTCTTGAAGGAAGAATTTATAATTATATAAATCCCGTGAATAAGTATATTGAGTCTATCTATCTAAACTTTATCATTATTTATTTCAACATTAATAAACGATATGCAACTTAATTATTTCAAAATTATAGAGGAAATTTCCTTGAGGTTTCAATAAACCAAAACACATGTTAGCTGAGGTAACTTACGCGAAAGAGGCGTCAAACAGATGCAGCAAGATTTTTAACTTTGTTATTTACTTAATGAGCCTTGACTTTTTTAGGTGATATAACTTAGAACAAAAACTATAAAAAGCTTTTTTTATATTCAATTGTTTATGAGTGTAAACGACAATCCTATAAATAGATTTAATTTTTTCCTTTGTTAATATTTCAATAATTGCTGTATTGCGCGTGTGTTGCTACATCAAGATTTATGCTGTATGATGCGATTTACTTAATGAATCTTGAATATTTTATGTGATATAACTATGAATATAATATAAACAATATAAAAATATTGTTTTTAATATTGTTTTAAATTCAAATGTTTAGGATGAAAATGTTTAGCGTAAATGACAATCCTAAAAATAGATATAAGTTTTTTTTTCTCATTTTGTTAATGTAATAATAATTGCTGTATAGCGCAAAAGTAATTGCTAAGTTATTTTTCTAACGCGTTAATTAATTTATGTACGCACTGTTGCTAGTAGGTTAATTTACGTGCATAAAATTTTCTTTATCGTAAATAGATTGAATAATGTTGCGTAACATTATATAACGCGTGCTTATCAACCTCTACGATGAATAAAACTTAAAAGAAAAGTATAAAAGAATTTTGTTTAATAAAAATTTTTAAAACTATTAATTTAAACTAAAAAAATATTTCGTTTTTTAATATTTATAAAATTTTAACATTAAATGTTCATTATTCTAGTTTGCTAAGTTTTAAAAATTTCAACAAAATTAGTTAAGGACTTTTAAATGTTTGCCTTTTTCTAAATCGTAACAATCGCATATTTTCTCAGAACATTTTGTTGGAGTGGAGCAAATGACGTCAATTAAGTAAAGTGACGTCAATTTTACAATAAGCCAAAATAATTATAAAAAGTGGGTTAGCTCAACGGATTTGTTTTCACTATTTAATAACGGTGCTTAGATTCAGTGACAAGATTTTTATTTTTATGAAATATTCTGTAGGAATGATAATTCCAAAATATTGTCTTCTTCCTTTGCACGAAGTATCTACTAAAAAAGAAAATGACATTTTTGGTAAGTAGTTATTTTTTTAAAGTAATTAATTAAAGTTAAATGTATTAAAAAACATTAATAAATTAAAAACAACAATAATAACTTTTTGATTTATTTTTTTTTAAAAGACGAATTCTCACTCAAAAACTATTTTATTTGTTTGAACGTTTGACTTTAGAATAGAATTTAGTTAAATTTACGTTCGAAAGATTTTCAAAATATTCAAAAATTTTTAAAAATTATTAACATATTGATAAGTTAGAATCGTTCTACGAGCTTTTTATTAATTGCACAACTGTGTTTTATTGCCAGTAAAAACAAAGAACAAAAAATTAATAAGATAATTAGCATGTCTCACAAACGTACAAAGCTGTCTTCTTGACCTAAATACTTTATTACTTTTAAATCTCATCCTATCTTTGATCGTTGCCGAACTATGGCACTTTGATCTCTAATTATTAAAATTAATATTATTACTATTATTATTATTTTTATTATGGCCTCTGTTAATATTTTAGCTCCGTTGTACAGAATTATTGTATTACTGGCTGTATTAAACAAATAATGCAGCAATTACTGTCGCCTTAATTGCTTAATACAGCAAATAAGCAAAACGTGCAAAGTTTTTGAAAGGTTTTTTTTTTGTTTATGTTGAACTGAATACAAGTCAAAGAGTAAATACCAATCCTTAATGTCAGCTGCACGGAGTTGCGAATAAGATTTAGCTCGAAAATAGTAATTTTACACTAGCTCTTCTTTTCTTTTGTTGCAACATGTACATAAACACCTTTTATAAAAAAAAAATAAAGATTGAAACATCAAAATGATGTATTATTAATGAACTAGTCTAAAAAAAAAGCGCTGTTTTTATTTCACTTGTAACCTTAGTTTTAGCATTTATTATTAAAATCTTCTTTAATCGGAGTTTTTCCAACTTTCTCTTTCATTTAGCAATGAATGTAAAATGTTAAAATCTTCTTAAACGCCGTGTATGATTACATATATTAGTTATTAAAACCTACTCCCACCTGATTGAACTTAAAAAACGTGTTAATCTTTGCTATCTATTTTAGGGATAATGTTTATATGGCAGAAGATAATCTCCTAAAATGCATTTTGTAATAATTTTTTTTTTAAAGTTTTGCGCTCGTAGCATTTAACAAAAGCAACGGTTTACTTAACGCTCAAAAAATCAGTTGAATGAAATAACGAAAAGATAAAAAAATATGATTAATCCGTTAAAATAAATTGACGTCAAGCGCTTCACAGTAGTTGTTACAAAATCGGTGATATTAGAACGTTTGACGTCATTGTCTGATTTAAAGAAGAAAGACATAATTCTATTGCACAAGATTTTCATTTCCAATCTCTTCTCAGTTTAATTTCGCGTCTTGAATTTTTATAATGGCAACTGAAAGTGTGGCGCAAGCGAATAAAGTTATACAATCTATTTATCAAAATGTTTTGTTTAATTTATTATAGCTGAGGTATTTAATATAGCTTAATGCGTGTAATTTTACTTATGGCTTTTTGTTTAGCGATAAAAAAAAATTAACTACTTAACTATCGTTTAGGTTTAAATGTCGAAAAATATTATCCAACCATGGAATGTAACCGAGATTTTAAAAAACAACCGGTACGCATAGGTCTTTATGACATTGAAGAAACCATTGGAAAAGGAAATTTTGCAGTCGTGAAATTGGCAAAACATCGCATGACGAAATCTCGAGTAAGTTGAACCTGAGTTTAAGTAGAACTGATAGTTGATAAAAAGATATTGTTAGTTAGTGAAAGCTGTTCAATTTAGGTAAAGATAAAATATTTATCTGATCACAACCAGGAAGAGTTCTTCTTAAAAAGACTATACCATTGTGAAGAAATCTTGCCTAACTATTTTAGCCATCTTATTTTCAAAAATATGCATAGACTACCAGCTGCCAAGATTTATTCGGTTGTTTTACTAATAAGTCAAATAGGTAAACTTCTCCTGTTAGTTACATAGAAATTGTATATTTCTCTGAATATTGAACTAATGAGTTTGACATGCACATAAACTTGTTTATGAATATATATATATATATATATATATATATATATATATATATATATATATATATATATATATATATATATATATATATATATATATATTATACTTATAATATCTATGGTTCCACATGTTTTACAAATTAGTTCCACACAGTTATACAAAAAAATGGCATCATAATGCCATTTTTTAAAATAATTATGACGTTATTTATGCAAGTTTATGGAATTTTTTTTGCAGCCGGATGCCCTTTCTGGCATTAGTTTGTTAATGATACTACCGCTAGGAAGATTACCACTTAGGGTTTATGAGCACCGCCTACTGTTAAATCAAGGTTTTTTTATTCAACTGATAATATATATATATATATATATATATATATATATATATATATATATATATATATATATAATATATATATATATATATATATATATATATATATATATATATACATATATACATATATACATATATACATATATACATATACATATACACATATATATATATATATATATATATATATATATATATATATATATATATATATATATATATATATATATATATATATATATATATATATATATATATATATAAATAAATAAATAAATGCGTGTTTAGATAATGTTTGATATCATACTGAAATAGCATGCTGCGAACAGCTTCAATACATAAATTGACTATAATATAGCCTGCTACCACAAAGGAGTTTTTTCCTTTTTCTGAAAAAGCTGTATGCTATAAAGATAAGCAAATTGAGTTTTTTTTTTTAATTTTTTTTTAATTTTACTTCACCTCCTCAAGGCCGAGAAGGCCACTACAGACGAGGAGGCTACTTATTTTGTGGCTTTAACCCTCTCTCAACTCTATAATTCCGAAACACGAACCTTGACGAACAAGGCCGCTGCGCGGAGAAACGAGTTGAGCGCGGTACTACTAGGGACGTGGTGGGCATCGAACTCGGAACCACTCATTTATGAAGCGAGCGCTCTACCACTACACCACTACCGCATAAGTTAGCTGATCTATATAAGTTATAGGCTATATATATATATATATATATATATATATATATATATATATATATATATATATATATATATATATATATGTATATATATATATATTTACCCAGGTCACTGATTCTATGATAGTGTAATGTTGATGTAACGTTTATGTATTAGTCATGTGGAAGTTATTTTATTTTAAAGTTTAATAACTTTTACATTATTAGCGGAGTTACATTATTGTGCGGTGCAGTGGTTAATTAAATCCTTTGGAGTCCTTTTTCGTTTTTGTTTTTTGTTTAATATTTTATTAATTAAAAAATTGTTGCTAAATTATTAATATATTAAGGTTGTTGCTAATATATTAAGGTTGTTGCTAATATATTAAGGTTGCTAAAAACGGATGCCATGAGCACCCATAAATTTTCTAGTATATATATTAAGCAAAAATCTGCGTTTGCACAATTGTGACTTTGTATTTTCAATGTGAAGTATACCCAATGTGAAGTATATCCAATCTAATACATTAAAAGGTGTCTTAAAATGAGGTTTAACTAAGTTTTTAATCAAAACTGGACTGGCCTCTTTTTGCTTTAGAAGAACAGTGTTTTCCTTTTGCTTTAAGTTGTGTTTATGAGTTTAGTAATTAGTTAAGTAAAAGTATCTGGAGTTCAAACTGCATTAGCAACTAGATATAGCTTAAAGTGTACAATGCTATTAGCCATGCATTAAAGTGTACATTTTTTTAAATTTGTTTCACTATTAGCCATGCATTTGATGGCAATTACAGGGTTTACTAACAGATGTTTAACTTAACAGAAAACTTGATTTTGTATAACTGAATACTGATTAGATTTTTGTGTCCAACAATTCAATCTTGACTTTATTTTACTTTATATGAAAAAATACACAAAAAGATTTTAAAATTATGTTATTTTTTTATTTAGGTGGCAATTAAAATAATTGACAAGAGTCGATTAGATGAATCCAATTTAATAAAAATTAAAAGAGAGGTGCAGATCATGAAGTTATTGGAACATCCTAATGTCTTAAAACTATATCAGGTATAACGTTATAAATCACTTTACTTTTGACATGTTACTATGTTGCCATGTTATGTTGTGTTTTAAATTTCATTCCTAGCAACTAAAATAAATTTAAAAAAAATGATAGAATGGTAAAAGAAAAAATAAGTAAAAGGTATTTTGTAATCATAAAACCAAAGAAAACAAAAAAAAGTTTTTTTAAAACTTCTATACATAGTATTAATTAACTCATCGTTACAATTACTTTTAATAGATACAAATACATTTTTTATTTTTATTTTTTTGTAAAGTGCAATTTTAATAGTTAAAGTTGTAACTGGCATTACTGCCATAAATCAGTTATGTTTTAGGTGTACCAAAGTAAGTGGTAATAAGGCATACTTCTTAAGGGTAAAGGAATGACATTACATTGTAAAGCAATGATAATTAAAGCAATATATTTTAAAGCATTTTAAAGCAATATATTTTTTGATGTTGCTAGAAATCCTCACTATCACCACTATTTTATCCATTTGTTTTTTATTTACCAACTATGGAAAATTGAATTTAAAATTTGAATTGAAACATGAATTAAAATTTTGAATTAATATTTTTTTTTCAAAACCTTAGTAAGACTGTAGAGTATATTAAAACCATTAATCTGATATTTGTAATTGAATTCAATAACACAAATGATGTAATGTAGATTTTCCATTTTAGCTAGAAACTACTAAACATTTTATTAAAAATACTTTTATAAGTTTTTTTTAGCTTTTTTTTTTTTTTGTCTTAAAAAACTAGTTTTTTGCATATTTTGTTATGAAAGAAAGTTAACTATAGTGTTTTGAAAAATTTTTTAGTTGCAATACAAATTAATTTTTTTTTTTCTGTTAGGTTATGGAAACCAAAAATATGCTTTACATTGTTACAGAATATGCAACAAAAGGAGAGATGTTTGGTATAAATATATCTAGTTGTTATTTAGTTATATTATATTACATATCTTAATAACTAATAAGTTCCTTTTTTGATTTTATTCTAAAAAAAAGTAACACCATTTGAAAGCAAAAGTAAATTCGTTTTTTTTTTCTTCAAAAGTTTTAAATATAAGAACAACAACAAAAAAAACATCAAATGATTTCCTTGGTTATCTATGACCTTTTGCCATTTTATAGCCAGCTGATGAAGAAATGCTCCATTAAATTGAACAAATGATAATCTATTGGTGTCAAGTCTGGTGAGTACGCAGGATGCAACAAGAGCTTCCAGTCTTGGTCTATAATGGTTTCTGTGGTTCTCATCACAACATGGGGTCGAGTGTTATCATCCAGCAATATGATTTAACAGTTTCCATGGGCTTAACCTTTTTTCTAATAATTTTTCAATCAGTTGTTTCAATTGTAACAAGTAATGTTCTGCAATAATAGTTTGCTTTGGTACCAGCAAAACTAAACGCAAAGCATTACCTTTATTTGATGAATACTGGGTTTAGAAAATGCACCTGTTGATTGGCAAGGACTTAAACTGCTGTTTTTTGTTGGTTGGAGTTTTTTAGTAAACCCGCTTTTCACCGGTTACATTTTTTCACAAAAAATCGTTTTTTTTTTTTTTTTTGTACCTTGTCAGATGAGAAACACAGGTGTTCATTTGCTGCTTTTTGTTATTTTTAGAAAAATCGTTCAGCCTACCTGACTGTTTCTGATCCTCAAGATGGAAATTCCCACTGAAAAACCTAGCAAACCAATTTTGGCAAATTCAAACACTTAAAGCGTTCTCGCCGTAAACTGAGCAAAATACCGCTGCCCCTTTCATTGCATTTTAGACATTGCAAAGCATGCCATGTCTAAAATGTATCTTTTCAAGGGAAATTTTTTAAATTACCAATTGGTATATAAAAATATAATATAATATTTGAATTTATAATGTATAAAAAACATTGCTTTTTCAAGTACTATATATATACTGTCTGTATTTTCCTATAGAATGTGTATCAAATTTGACTTTAAAAATATGCGAATTTACTTTTGCGCCAACTGGAAATATATATTTTCATTAGCATTTATAGAAATTTTTATAGCTATATATATTTTTATTGTTTATATAAATTTATTTATTCCAGCTTATATTGACAAACATGGTAAACTGCAAGAGCACGAGGCACGTCGTTTATTTTGGCAAATTTTGTCTGCTGTTGAATACTGTCATAAACATAAAATTGTTCATAGAGATTTAAAGGTAATTTCACCATTTCGAAACTTTAAAAAAAAGAAATTGATTACAACTATTTCTTGATTTATAAATATTTAATTTCGAATAACATTTTCATTTAGACTGAGAACTTACTACTTGATGAAAATTTAAATATAAAAATTGCTGATTTCGGTTTCAGTAATTATATTGAAGAAAATGAGCTATTAAAGACTTGGTGTGGTAGTCCCCCATATGCTGCTCCTGAAATATTTGAGGGTAAAGAATATGATGGACCTGCTATAGATATTTGGAGTTTAGGTGTTGTTTTGTATGTGCTTGTTTGTGCAGCACTTCCATTTGACGGAGAAACAGTTCACGAAGTAAGAGATCGTGTTTTGGAGGGTCGGTTTCGTGTTCCATATTTTATGTCTTCTGGTAATTTTAATTATTTTTTCAATTAAAATTTACTTAAATTTTGTAAATAGTTTTTTTTTTTTCATTGAAAGTCTATAGTAGTACGGGTTTTTTTTCAGGAGATTATTGGTTTTTATATAAGTTAACTTTAATTAAAAACAATTCAACTTTAGAACTTGAAGATCTAATTCGTAAAATACTTGTTAAAAATCCGATTCATCGCTACAGTCTAGAGCAAATAAAGGCTCATCCTTGGTTGTATGAGTATCCAGAAGATCGACCACCTATTTATAATTCCTATACCAGCTATAATGAGACTTTTAATGGTGAATTGAATAAACACGTATTGGATGTTATGATGGGTTTAGGCTTGGATATTGAGAAGACTAAAAAAGTATTTTATATATAATATTTAACCATTGTTTTTAACACAAAATTTTGAAAAGAATTTGTTTTATATTTACTTTAGCTATAACTATTTTAAAATTTAATAAATGATTGTATTTATATTAATTTAGTCATTAGCTGTCAATGGTTATGATCATTTAACGGCAATTTACCATTTACTGAGCGAACGCCTAAGACCAAATCGTACAAGTTATCCTGAACAAAATAATGTAACAACTCGTTATAGAAGAGCCAGTTCGATGGCAGATCAAGTTATAGTTAAAAATAGTCAAGGTCTACCTTTGTCTGTAACACAGCATGTGATTCCTGCAGGCATTAAAATAGCTGATAAAAATAAAGCAGGACTCCAATATGCTTTGAATGAACTTCATATAGGAGAAGTCGAAATACCTCCTGATATAATAAATTCAAGTATACCTGGTTGTGTGAAGGAATTTTCTCCTCCTCCAGTCCCACATAACCTTTTGCACCCTCGACTTGGTCATTTTAGCTCTTCTAGTACACAAAAAAATATAGAAACTGTTAACGAAGAGGGCAATGATGATACTGAAACTAAAACCGAAAATACTCCACTCCGACAACGTCGTGGAAGAAGGTCAGCTGTTGATGCTATTTATCACAATCACCGTCGTCATACCGTGCAAAATCCTCTTGTTGAAAATGAAACTTTGTTTGTTCCTTCTAACCATCCATTATTAAATAAGGAATTTAATGATACACCTCCTGATAATGGTGACCTATCCAATAAACTAAAAATAAAGATTGTTGAACCAACTGTTCACCCCGAGCAAACCTATGTATCAATGTTAATAAATCCTGAACAAACATTGCATTTATCTACTGTTGCGCATAAATCGGACCTTGCTTTTAATATTGGAAGAAGAGCATCTGATGGTGTTAATGCACCTTTTAAACATCTGTTGTATAAGTCAGATAATCTGTATTTAAAAGAATATAAAGAACTGCAAAGATTACAAAGAAGCTTTACTCCTGAAAAAATACATCAGCAATCATGCCAGTTTAAAGAAAATACTAGCTTAGTACATGATTGGAAATTGAGTCCAACATCTAGCCAAAACGAGTTATTGATGATGAAATTACAAAAAATGCATTTAGCTAATATAGATAATACTTTAGAAACTGTTGATTCATGGGATGCTCCAGGACCTTGCAGGCGACCTCCAACATATCGTAAGTTTTCAAGTTGTGTTTTACCAATGCCTGCACCAATAAGAAGAAGGCGTGCACCAGTGATAGATAATATTTTAAATAATTTTGATAACTCAACTGAAAGTGACATTGTTTAATGATTTTTGCAGTATTAACTTTTTATAGGAATTTTTTTGGAAATTAAAAACTTAGTTTTAAATTGCAAGCTTTTATTTATACACATGCTCATGGTTGCTGAGCAAACTGTTGTTGCGTTTGTAAATATCTTTTTATGTGTAAATTATGAATTAATGTATGGCCAATGTTTAAATTGTACATATATTTGTAAATAAGCATGTACATTTTTTTCAATTTTTTTTTTTCATGTGACAGATAATTAAAATTATTTATGTCTGGTAAAAAATTATTTTTGTTTTAAATGTCTTGTCTGCTTAAAGGTGGTGTCATTTGTACCTGTATACATGTTTGCGTACATGTATTTAGACAAAAATACATGCGCTTGTATTAGGTATGTTTGAATTGTTTATTTTGTATTTCAGTAATTTTAACAACAACAAAAAACGTGGAAATAATGAAGCTTGAAATACTATTTTAATAGATGAAGATTAGATTGTTTCGAAGTTTTGACATTAACTAATCTAAACTTTAAGTAGAACTAATCTAAACTTAAAGTAAAATACTTAAATTTATTTTCTATCCTTTATCTCAACTATTTAGGGCTATTTTATGTAATTCAAAAAATCCTAATGCATGACTTCGTTTTCAATACATAATAAAATTAAATAAATGATATACTAAATATATAATTATTTAAAATATAACAAAATTTTTGACTGACAAATGACGTTAATACTATAAATATCGCATCCGAAAGTTTAACAAGTGACGTCATTATAACTTCATAGTAAAAAAATGATCACTGAATGCTTTATTTTACAAATAATCGGTGACATAATTTAATTTTATTGTGGTAACTTATAATATAACAATAATGATACTTTATAAAACTGTTCAGTGATAAACGTGAAAAATTACTCCAAAATCCGATTCCGATCTAACTATTTAAGAAATATTTTAATGTGTTATGACAAGGATAAAATTCGTTGTTCGACCATAATTTATATAATCATAAGTTGATAACCATTGTAAAATTTTGTTGTGTGACCATGTAAAATATTTGTTCTCTTGAAATCTATTTTTAAAAACCTTACATTTAAACCTCCTCCCTCTATGTGGTAGTTGCTTTGACCTCCTTTTCTTTAAACTATGCTTAGATAACATCACCTATAAATTTTACTGATGACAAGTAAAATGCATCGGTACTTTAATAAAATAATACTAGGCTTGGATACACCAAAATCGCATAGTTTATATGTTACAAAGCTCCAATATCGTAATATTTTACAAAACATCCTTATTTGATATAAGTATGAACATGTAAACGTTTGCTTTGTGAAAGTTATCTAAAGCATTGAAAAACGGTGCATCCGCCCCAGAATATATTTTAAATGATAAAAGTTATTAAAAAAAAAGATGCTAATCCACATGATAAGTTATTTACTGCTTGTTGATTCATACAGATATTATCAGATTTTTTTTCAAGTACTGTAATACCGGTATTGATTCAGCTCAATGAACCAGTTTGGCTCAATGTTACCAATATTTCGGTATTGGATATATAAAAAATATTTGAAACTTTTTTCAAATTCTAGTTTAAAATGTAATGTATTAGTTATATAATAGTAAGGTATTACTTGTTTAAAGAAAAATACAACTTTGTTCCCGATCGTGAAATCAAAATACAGCATCGTCATTGGCTTTGTTTCCATCAGCTCCGTTGCCATTGGCCAAAAAACCACCAATTTCTTCAAAAATCAACACAATATGTTATTCCCCGCAGGTTTTTCTAAAAAGACAGCCCTTGACAGAATGTCTTTTAGCATATATGTCAATTAAAAACTGCAGATATTTAAACGTGAACTTTCAAATTAAAGATAGCAATGCAATACTATTGTTCATGATAAATAACCTTGGAGACGCGGATTTAGCTGTTAAGTTTCAAGTAATGTTGGCGTGACAATTAAATAAACCTTTTTAAATTTCTGCTGCCCTATTTGCACAAGGGCCATCAACGATACAACAAAAAAACAAAAATATTCTCAAAAAAACTTTATTATGCTAAGTTATTAAAAAAATACAAACGGAAACACTAAAAAAGTTTGGAATGTAATTAAGGGTTTAATTGGAAAAAATAATTATAAAAAAAGCACTCTGCCAAAAAGTCTTTTGATTCATTTTAAAATAAGTTTACGATAAATCAATTATAGCTGAAGAACTAAATAACTAGTTTGTTAATATTGGTCCAAAATTGGCTGCTAAAATTCCACCTAACTCCACTCCTTTTGATTCATATTTAAAAACTTATGATAAACTTATGGACAAAACTAGTTTAAAACAACGAGCTGAGAGCACTCTCATAAGTAAAAAAGTGTAGGTTTTGATAAAATTAGTATTGATACTTTAAAATCAGTATTTGACATTATTTTACCTTTCTTATTTCATGTTTTTGATCTTTTGGTCATTTAAGACAGGCATTGTTCCTGACAAACTAAATAATGCACGTATAATATCGAATTTAAATTTGGAGATAAGTCAAATATTTTAAATCACAGGTCTATATCTATATTATCTTGTTTTTCAAAATTGCTAGAGAGAATAATGTATAATAGGCTATATAATCATCTAACTGAGAACGACATGTTGTATTGCAGGCAATTTGGTTTAAAAAAAATTCCACTGAACATACATTAGTTGAACTTTCCTATATAACGCCTTTGATAATGACTGTTTTACATTAGGAGTTTTCATTGATCTGTCGAAAGATTTAGGCACTGTAAATCACAATATACTAATAAAAAAACTTGAAAACTACGGAGTGAAAAATAAAAACTTACTTTGGTTCAAAGGGTATCTGACAAACCGAAAGCAATTTTTATACTGTTTTTATACAAAATATAGAGGACCAAAGGTATGAAACAGCTTCAAAAAGAACAACTTTAACTTGGTGAAACCATAAATAAACAGTGAAATTTGATACTTTATTTTAAAAAAATACTAAAAAAAAAACTTTTTATAAGAATTAATGCATCGATGAGCTCTATGAATCGTGGTGATATTTATATCACCATTATCTTTTTGAGTACCGTTATAAAAACAAACAAACAGATGAATTAGATAGATTAAATCGTGAGAATGTAATTTGACAAAGATTATAAAATATTTATTTAATTTACAGTGAAAATGACAAAATCAAAAAAAAAACATAAACTGAATTATTTAAAAATGACGTTTATTTAACTATTATTATTATATATTTTTAGCTACTTTTGCAACTCATAGCATTGCGACACATAGCATTGCAACAAATGGCATTGCAACAGATAGCGGCATTTAATTGGTCTTTGTTAATTTAATCAACTAGAATATTTCATTGTAGTATAATCAAATGAGAAATATGAAAAAGTTTATTGTTAAAATGGAAAGTTATATCATACAAAATAGTTCAACTATTATTATCTTGGAATATGGCTAAAACATCACTTATAAACAACAAACCCAAACGAATGATTAATGCATCTTTGAAATGTCAACTGCTCATGATATAATTCAGCGCTTCAATAGATGACATCAATCGAGAAAAACTGTGTGAGACCAAAGCAGAAAACTGTGGAAGACCAAGAACTACCACTTCAAAAATCAACAACATTAAGCCATGATAAGCCGTTTGGCTGTTTGATACTTTAAAATAAGACAAGGCAACTTGACATCAAGCTGTTTGATAACTTTCAATTTATTTTAAAGTATCAAACAGCCGTTTGGCTGTTTGTTACTTTAAAATAATACAAAGCAACTTGACATCAAACAAGTTTTGTCAAAACACGACTCCAAGAAAATGTAATTGTTTTGCATTTTCTTGGAGTCAAGTTAAACAATACCTTCTTGAAATTCAATTTTCATGCCTCGTGGCTGGGCAATTCACCTAATTTAAATCATAAATCTAAAGTCTTTAAACAAAACTCAACTTCACTAGCAGATCTGAGAAAAGCCATAAAGAAAGCATGATGTCATAATAAAACGCTTTAATATTGTAAGTCTCTAAAGTCAAGTCTCTAATTACCTCAATGCTGCTAAGAATGGGTTTTTTAAAAAGTTTAAGGAGACCATACAAAGTATTAAAACATGTTTTATACTCCCAGCAAACATTGTTTTATTCAATTTTCAGTGGACCTATATAGGCATTTTTGAGCGGTTCAGTGGAGTTTTGCTCCTCGGTTACTTAGTAAACCATCAGTGGCAGCCGCTATAAATAGCCAGCCAATAACTTTCCGACATGTCAATAGTGACAAAATTACAGTGGACCACTCAAAATGTCTTTATAGGTCCATAAAATTCTGCTATAGATTGTTTGCTGGGCTGTGACTCTTTTATTCTTTTATGTTCAAACATTTTCTAGAATCATTACTCAGTACAAACAAAATTTTCACTGTAAATTTTGGTTAGACTTTTTTGTGCTATACCCAGCAAACATTCTATCGCGGATTTAAAGCGTACCTATGTAGCCATTTTAAGCGGACCACTGTAGTTTTGCTCATCGGTTACTATGTGGACCATTAGTGGTACCCACCAAAAGTAGCTTGCAGCTAGCCGATGACTAGTCACTATTAACATGTCGGAAAGGTATCGGCTTGCTCTTTTAAGCGGCTGTCACTAAAGGTCCTTTAAGTAGCCGATGAGCAAAGCTCTAAAAAATGGCTATACAGGTCTACTAAAAATCCACTAAAACAATGTTTGCTGGGTAGATATAAAATGCTCTATTTTTTTTACTAATTTAATTAAAAATTATATACAAGTAAAAAAAATTATAGCGAACTTGGTTTTTTAAGTTAAGGTTTGCATTTTTAACACTAATTAGAATTGATTTGTTTAAATTGTAAACAATTGACGACCAGTAGTTGTATAAGTATAATTAATATAAGTTGCAATAATTTATAAACACATAAATATTTTTTGTTTTTTAAAAATGGTTAAACAGTTTTACTCACCTTTCAGATATATATTTTCTTTGGATATTATTTCCCACTAGCACGTCTCTTCTTTCCAATTAGTCTTAGTTTGATACTCAGTTTTTGGAATGTTTTTATAATTATCAATTTTGTATCATCTTTATTTAATTTTTTAAATTCCGCTTCTAGAAGATAACATGTTGATGCCATAAGAATGATTAAAAGTGAATACAAGTCTGTGTTAATAATGAACATGATTAAAATACTTAAGAAAATAGTTTCTTTTTTTTATTTTTCACATACCATTTTGCCTAGGTTTTTAGATGCGTACTTTGTTATTT